TCGGAAAACCTGGAAAATAGTGACGTCTGTACATCTTTACAGTCCTTTCCAGTCCCTTATTAATGTAGTGTTATTATTCGTGACCCCGCGGAGTTAATTACCTCGTTGACAATACAGGATTCAATGTACTAAAACTAACTTACCTACCTACACAAAGACGAGACCATTTCAGGTTACATGAGATAATAGGTACCAGTAGTAAAAATGGAAACACGTGAAACTTCCTATTCCCCTTAAGAAGTCAGTCACCAATAACATCTCTAGAATAAAAAGTTCACGTCTCTCCTAAGTATCACGAATTATTAAGAACGAGGAAAAACCGACTAAGCGTCCCGAGTCTAGCACGTCTCTGAGAGGACCCACAAACCTGTCACTGTCCCTAATTTGGCGTTGGCCTCGATTTCCCCAAAGGACTCCAGACTTACGTTCTTCGGAACCGGCCTCGACTCACAGACTCATTCCCGCTCGAGGCGTGGCTGGAAGAACCGGGCGGGAACCTCTCCATTAGGTCGCTCGTGCCGCTGTCACTCGGATTCTTTCCTGAGCACGACGCCCAGAGAGGCCGCCTCAGTCAACGGCCAGAACGTTGTCCATCTCACTGCCCCTCCGGAGCAAGCGACGCTCGTTGGCCCGAGAACACGCAGCCGTCATGCCGACTGACATCAGTCTTGCCGGATGGTCCCCCGGCCGAACGCGACATAGGTATGTTGACGTGAGAGTAAGGCCATGGTGTGGGGTATGAGAGTGGGACGACTCAGCGATCGAATAGTGAAACTATGTAAAGTGATTTTAATAACTAAAAAGTCTTAAGTAAGACTCTAAACTAACTCATAAACTAAACTTAAAGTTTGGAAATAATAATATGTCTACCAGGTAACTCTGTATCTAGAGAAAAAGTTTCCTCTCTGTACTCGTTTCTTAACTAACTAACGAAGACATTACTACATCGACGTATATAAGACATTGTTTGTTTACAAATAACTCAACAATTGAATAGTAATTGGATCCCTATTTTATTCAGGCCTTTAACTGTAAAAGGAGAAAACCCTCACAATGTGTGTCAGACAGTACTGAATTCCAAAATTAATATTGTTATGGTCATAAATGTGGGTACCTGATTAAAAGGAACAATTCACCCACAATAAGATCAGTTTCTCACCCTGTTACATTGAATTCTTAAAGAAAATGTGTTTTTCTCGCATGTCTAGCTGGTAAATGAAAGATACACAATTGGATGGAAGTAAGGGCTGTGTTTAAAACCAGCAAAACGATATCAAAACATCTGTTTACACACTGTTTGCAAAATCTATTTGTTTGCATTTTCCTCAAAACCAGGAGGTATGGACAGGGATGAAAGGTAAGTTGTGCACATACGTAACATCACTTCTGTTGGTATTTCAACCTTAACATTGACAAATTTGACATGACATTTGACATGGAATTAAGTCACTCGTGTCATTTTTAACCATTACTCGATCTCTTTCTTAACCCTTAGATAAATAAGTGTTTTGTTTTTTTGACCCAGTGAGGTGGTTTTCTTGAAGTATCTTTGTAATTACATTTTATAATCATTTCATATTCCAGCTATTCCTAAAAAAACATGTTAGGTCAAAAATGACCCGCATGTATTTTCTATGGGATCCTATGGGAAAACGTTTTTTTTCCAAATGTAATTTTTTTTTCTAAAATTCTAAATAGTGAAAAATTAAATATAAAATATTTCTAGTGTGAACTAAAATGTAATACTAAATATTATATAAGTGATTTTTTTTAACAAAAATGACAAAAATGGCATAACAACACATATTATTCTAATATGGGTCCTTTTTGACCCACTTATGGAAGAGTGTAGGGTCCAGCCACTCGTGAGGGTTAAGCAACTAAGCAACAAGCATTAAATGATCCCGCAGCTCAATGATAAGTGTCACTAACGAACGTAAAATAAGACATATTCCCTATAATGGATTACTGTGACACTGAGACTGAATTAAATGGAAACCAATGGCTGCTTGAAACCATAGACTGTGTATGTAAATGTAGGAAAGGCCTGAAGCGTAGGAAGATTAAGTTCAGCAGAGTTAAGCAAGAAAATCAATAAAAGTCTTAGAATAAAAGAGCTAAATTCTACCACAGAAAACACTGAGAAGGACATCAACAAATAACCCGGATAAGGTGTTTTACTCGTATTTTGTATTCTTGTTTAATTCACAAATCACAAAGTTTGTGCGTTACTTGGTATTTATTACCTGGGAAGGAGGGGTTGTATTATTTAGTTTTGTATTGTGAAGCAAGCACTTTGTTGACTTTT